AATAAAATATAATTATAGAAAAAAAAAGAAAGAAACAGGGAAGTCCTGGGCATCTCGACAGAGAAGCAGTGACATCAAACCAAGAGCTGGCTATCACCTCAGTTTTCAAAAATTCTTCCGGATCAAAGTCTCGAAAGAAGCAGGGTACATCACTCACCACAGAAGCCCCAAACACGGTATCTCAATAGAAAAATGACACAGTAGCAATGGATTTCCTGAAGTTGGAAAATCTGATGGAACGCTTGACATAGAATTTTTAAAAAATTATTGAGCATTTTCAATGGATGAAAAACAAACTTGAAGAATTACAGGACACTACAGTCAAAAATCAGGAGGAGCATAAAAAAACCCAAACAATGCAAAGAAAACAAATGAGGCATTAGAGACACTAGGAAAACAAGAAACCATGATCCAAATTATGAAATCTAAGGTTTCTGATGCTGTCAACATAATGGAGGGACACACAAATGTAGGTGAAGAGATGGAAAACAGGTTCCGTGAAATATAAGATAGTATTGTCACCACAGATCTGACTGAGAAAAAAAGGAGAATCAAAAAAGAAGGAAACAGAAGAAAACTTAGCAATAATGTGGGATACCATTGAAAGAAGTAACATTCGCATCATTGGAATCCCAGAACAGGAAGAAGCAAGTAAAGGCACTGAAAAAGTTGTGGAAGAATTACTAGAGGAAAACTTTCCAAGCATAATGAAGAATGACAGAATGTATATTCAAAAAGCTGAGAGAACACCATACAGAATAGACCCTAAAAGAAAAACACCAAGGCATATCATTGTCAAATTTGCTAGAACCAAGGATAAGGAGAAAATACTGAAAGCAACGAGAAAGAAAGAGTAACCTATAAGGGAGAACAGATAAGATTAAGTGCTGATTTCTCAGCAGAAACCATGCAAGCAAGAAGACAATGGAATGGCATAAATCGAACACTCAAAGAACACAACTTTCAACCAAGAATACTATACCCGGCAAAACTCTCCATCAAATAAGGAGAGGTCAAAATATTCCCAGAAATACAGAACCTAAGGGAGTTCGTAAAACCAAGACCAGCCTTACAGGAAACACTGAGAGATGTGACAGAAAACAGGATAAACCAAAGTAACTAGCAACAATGCCAAAAAGAACACAATGATAGCAATAAAACACTACCTCTCAATAATTACACTGAACATGAATGGTTCAGTGCACCACTGAAGAGAAAAAGAGTAGCAGATTGAATAAAAAAACAAAATCCATCAATATGTTGTCTACAAGAGACATATCTGAAAAATTAATATAAAGAAAGACTAAAAATAAAAGGAAGGAGAAAAATATACCAAGTAAATGGCAACGGAAAAAATAAAAAAGCAGGAATAGTGATACTAATCGCTGATAAAATAAATTTCAATGCAAAAACCATCACGAAGAGCAAAGGAGGTCACTACGTAATGCTCACAGGGTCAATAGAACAAGAAGATATAACAATATTGAATATCTATGCAGCAAATGATAGACCTGCAAAATATATAAAATACACATTAACAAAATTGAAAAAGGAAATAGACAACACTACTATAGTACTTGGAGACTTCAATACACCCCTTTCAAGAAAAGATAAAACTACCAAAAATAATCTCAACCAAGATACTCAAGAATTAAACCACGCAATTAACCAACTCAATCTTATAGATATTTATAGGCTAATGCACCCGAAAAAAAAGCACAATATACCTTCTTTTTAAATGTTCATGGTACATTATCCAGAATAGATCACATTCTAGGTCACAAAGCAAGCATCAACAAATTCTAAAACATAGAAATTATACAAAGTA